ACATTCCAACACCCATCCCTCCATCAGCGCACATTTCCCACCACTAATATCCTCTGTATCCCTCCTGCTACCCCACCCCCACCCCCACAGCCAGCATCTATGGTAGGTACTTTTCTTCTCTCTCTCTCTCCCCCCCCCCCCTTGGGCATTATACTTTGCAGTACAGATACTGAGAGGCCGTCATGTTTGACTTTTTGCCCACGTTCAGCACACATCTCCCAGCCTGTTCCTTTTTATTGCTGGATAGTATTTTTTTTTAATGTTTAAATGTTTTTTTTTTTCAAAACATATGGTCCTTACAAATTAAGGAATATACAAAGTTTTAAGGAGATACAAAGCACTCAACTCTCATGACACAAACACAACTATCTATACAAAAATAGTCTAGAGCCAAATCTATATATTTTTTTAAATTTATTTTTTGAATCACCGTGAGAACAGTTACAAAGCTTTCAGGTTTAAGTCTCGGTCATACAATGATCAAACACCCATCCTTTCACCAGTGCATATTTTCCACCACCAAGAACCCCCATATCCCCCCATGCCACCCCTCCCCATGCTTGTAAGGCAGATGATTTTTCACTCAACTCTCTCTCTACTGTGATTACATTCATTATTTTGACAAAAGATGCACCATTATTATTTGGAAATTTCCCCCAACAATCAAACCTGCTGAAAATACATCATGAAATAATTTGTTTTCTATTGCTGGTTATGAAGACCATACGATGTCGCGCGGCCACTATTGCCAATTTTGGATTTCTAATATTTTCCTCCGCCCCTCTCGGAGAGCCCGGCAAGCTACTGAGAGCATCTCGCCTGCACGGCAAAGCCTGGCAAGCTACCCGTGACATATTCAATATGCCAAACACAGTAACAACAAGTCTCATGATGGAGACGTTACTGGGCCCGCTCAAGCAAATCGATGAACAACAGGAGGACCGTGATATACCATGATATAATATTTTACTAATTAAGTCTGGAGGGATTTCTGCCAAAAGCAGAATAGTTCCAAGATTGGTTTGTATGCCTCTGGGTCCATGTCCTTGCTGGAGAGCTGCTCGTGGCGGGGGGACAACTCGTGGTCTCGGCAGAGAAAGAAGGACATGCTGGTTCCGCCCCCCCATCCCATGAGGCCACAGTTGCCCCATCACCACTGGCTCATACCTGGCTGTCCAATAAGTTCTGAGGTGGCTGCCACTAAGCCGTGAGAGTGAGGGGAGGGGGAAATGACGGAAGAGACAGACACCCTTTTCCTCTGGGGGGTGGGGGCACAGCGCTGTAGCTTACTGCATAGTCATAGTCCATTCACATTTCTGCCAGAAGCTGCTGGGTTCCGAATTAGGTTCGTATGTCTCTGAGGCCATGGCCGTTCCAGAGAGCCGCTCATGCCCCCCACTCCAGGATAGTATTTGATTGCGTGAATGTGCCTGAATTCACTCTCCCCGTCCCCCAGGATTCATCCAAAGGCCTCTCCCAAATATTCATTTCCCACTTAGCTGCATCCCCAACCTCTCTCTATTCATTATCTTTTTTTTTTTTTTTTTTTTTTTTTTTGCGTTTTGGGTCACATCCGCTGATGCTCAGGGGTTCTTCCTGGCTCATGCACTCAGGAATTACCCTGGTGGTGCTCAGAGAACCATACAGGATACTGGCAATCGAACCCTGGCCGGCTGTGTGTAAGGCAAACGCCCTACCTGCTGTGCTATTGCTCCAGCTCCTATCCATTCTTTTTTGGTGGACATCTGTCCATCCAGGCTATTAAGGATTAAACTCTTACACACATTCTTCCACAAGGTTTGGTGGGGGGGCAAATATTCCATTTTCAAAAATACTTAGGGGATGGAGAGATAGTGGGGGAAGTGCTTGCCTTGCACATGACCAGTTCTTGTTCAAGATTCCCATACTGCATATAGTCCCCTGAGCACCATCAGTAATGATCCTTGAGGCGAGAACCAGGAGTAAGTCCTAACCACTGATGACTATGGTCCAAAAAACAGTTTTTTTTTTTTTTAAGAACCCAAATCTTTGGAGTGGGGTTTGTTTAGTCGTGCTCTGCTTAAGAGTTTTTAAATCAGTGTCAAGACTCTAACAATGATGGTTGTATGAGGTTGACCCTCATGTCACAGATTTGCATCTCCTGGGCCCGCTTATCCAGATATTTTCCTTTGGTGGTGCTACTTTCACAAAGTCAGCCAATCTTAGATTCTACCCATCTTGGATGCTGGTTGGATCTATGGATGCAAATCTTATACATGGAGGACCGACTATAAATCAGATCTTTCCAAGTGTGTCAAGTTTGGTATCCCAAAACCCTTCATTCTTTGGGGTCAGCTGTATGAGCAATTTGTGCAGTGCCATCTACTTTTGTGCACAGACACTCTGCAATAGTGGAACATCAAAGAAATGTCCTAGGCACGCATTTCTTAGAATACCCTGCGCAAAACATGCCTGTCTGTTTGTCTACTTTTTTGGGTGTTTGGGCCAGCTGGTGGTGTGTGTGTGTGTGTGTGTGTGTGTGTGTGTGTGTGTGTGTGTGTGTGTAGACTTAGTCCTGGCCATACACTTGTGTGCCACTCACTCCCCGTGTTGCTTAGGTAACTGTAAACATCAGTCAGGGTCAAACCTGCACCTCCCACATACAAAGCGATCACTCAGCCCTCTGAGCTGTCCCTTCTGCCCCATGAATGTTTCTTTCATTTTATTTTAGTTTTGGGGCCATGTCTTGTCCTGTGCATGGCTTATTCCCTGGGGCCATGTCTTGTCCTGTGCATGGCTTATTCCCTGCTCTGCACTCAGAGATTACTCCTGGTGGGTAGTGGGAGACAATAAAAGGTGCCGAACCCAGATTGGCTACATGCAAGGCAAGTGCCTAATTTGCTCTTCTATATCTTCATTCCCATGTATTTTTTTTTCTTTTAATGCTTATTGGGCATCTTTAACAAGTTTTTTTTTAAATTTTTTATTGAATCACTGAGATAAGACATTACACAGTTGTTCATGATTGGGTTTTAGTCATAAAATGTTCCAACACCCATCCCTCCACCAGTGTAATTTCCCAGCACCGATATCCCCAGTTTTGCTTCCACCCCTCCTAAACCAACCCCTATCCCAGTCTGCCTCTATGGCAGACTCTCTCTCTCTCTCTCTCTCTCTCTCTCTCTCTCTCTCTCTCTCTCTCATTTTAGGCATTACGGTTTGCAATGCAGATGCTGAAAGGTTATCATGTATATCCCTTTACTTACTTTCAATATTCACTTCTTGTCCAGAGTGATAATTTCCAGCTAAAACTATCACAATAGACTCTCCTCTATCTTAACCACCCTCTACCCCACACCCTTGTGATAATTTTCAACCGTTGACCAGTCTTCCTGGTCCATTTACCTGACCTTGGGTATTAGTTTCATACTGCCTTTTTTAAATATATATATATATATATATATATATATCCCACAAATAAATGCAGTCATTCTATACCTGTTCCTCTCCTTCTCACTCGTTTCACTCAGCATGATACTCTCCAAGGACATCCATTAATAGGCAACTTTCATGATCTCATTTTTTCTGACAGCTGTATACTTCCATTGTGTAGACATACCATAGTTTCTTTATCCATTTGTCTATTCTCAGGCACTCTGGTTGTTTCCTGATTCTGGCTATTATGAATAGTGTTGCAATGAACATAGAAGTGCAGATGGTATTTCTGCTGTGTTTTTGGACCCCCAGGATATATTCCCAGAAGTGATATTGCTAGGTCAAAATGGAGTTCAATTTTTAGTTTTTTGAGGAATGTTCATGTCGTTTTCCAATAAGACTGGATCATTTGGCATTCCCACCAGCAATGAATAAGGGTCCCTTTCTTCACACATCTGCACCTGCACTAGCATGCTCATTTTTATTTATTTATTTATTTACTTATTTATTTTTCCTTTTTTGGGTCACACCCGGCATTGCACAGGGGTTACTTCTGACTCATGCACTCAGGAATTACTCCTGGCTGTGCTTGGGGGACCATATGGGATGCTGGGAATCGAACCTGGGTTGGCTGCGTGCCAGGCAAACACCCTACCCTCTGTGCTGTCTCTCCAGCCCCTGGTATACTTATTTTTAAAGAAGCTTCCAGGCCATCCTCTATAGATCACATGCCATTTTAAAATAGAGTGGTCCTAAACTTTTGTTGTCTCACAGTAGAATTTATGGACACAAGGGACACATCAAATCTGGCTATCTTGATTTGGAATTCTAGTAGATATTTTCTGTGGTATTTAAGATATATGAGAATTTAATATTTAATATGATATGAGAATTTAATAAGATATGATATTTAAGATATATGAGAATTAAGCAAGAATTATTTGTTTAAAATAAAGAACTTATAATTATTTATTCATTTACCATTTGCTGGGGCAGGAGCGATAGCACAGTGGGTAGGGCATTTGCCTTGCATGCGGCCCACATGGCTGACCAGAGTTCGATTCCTCTGCCCCTCTCGGAGAGCCCAGCAAGTTACCGAGAGTATCTCGCCCGCACAGCAAAGCCTGGCAAGCTCCCTGTGATGTATTTGATATGCCAAACACAGTAACAAGTCTAACGATGGAGACATAACTGGGCCCACTCAAGCAAATCGATGAACAACGGGAGGACAGTGTTACAATGCTACCATTTGCTGGCTCTGGAAAGTTTCATAGAGTTTGGCCATTGAAGAACACGAGTTATCAAGTCTATTGATCACTTCTGCTACTAAGGAGAAGGAAAAAATCAGGATACTCAGGATTTAAGAAAATTTTCTCTTGAGTTTTCCATAGTCTGAACACAACTGAGCACAGAGCGAGCAAGGCATCGAGTATTGAACCATACTGAGAAAAGAGAAAGCGTAGCTTGCATTGCTTTGTTTTGATGTTTATTATCCCTGTATGTGCTACATCTGATGCTTTTATTTCTTCCCTGGAGAGTTTTTACGTAGTCAACATGCACCTTAGATTTTCCACTTTGTTTTTCAGGCCAAAGATGCCCTAGAAAATACTGAAGTTCCTGTTGGCTGCCTTATGGTCTATAATGATGAAGTCGTGGGGAAAGGAAGAAATGAAGTTAACCAGACGAAAAATGTATGTGGGCTGGGACAGTGGTGGAGGGAAGGGGACACTCTGGTGTCAGATGTGGTGCTAGAATGTTTTATGCATAGAGTATTATAGACCATGGTAAAAGTAAAGTAAAGGCCCTCCCGTTGATCATCGATTTGCTCAAGCAGGCCAAGTAATGTCTCCATTGGAGACTTTGTTGTTACTGTGTTTGGCATATCGAATACGTCACGGGGAGCTTGCCAGGCTCTGCCGTGGGGGCGAGATACACTCGGTAGCTTGCCAGGCTCTCCGAGAGGGGCGGAGGAATCGAACTCAGGTCGGCCATGTTGGCTGCGTGCAAGGCAAACACCCTACTGCTGTGCTATCGCTCTAGCCCATGGTGCCTAGAATTAATAAATTACGTGAGCCGAGTAGCATCACTGTAAGCATGAGACAGCATTAGTGGATGTGGACAAACTTGACACAACTACTGAGAAGATGGTATAGGGAATTCCATAGGAATAATGGAAGGGCCATTTATATATATTTTTTAAGGCATCAGGGTCCCTTATCTTTAAAAAAAAAAAAGAAAGAAAAAAAAAAACTTTGGTGACGGAAGTGATACATGTTGATTTTTTTTTCTCTTTTTGGGTGCCAGTATCCCCACTGGGGGACCCACTAGAGCTCCATGTAGCTGGTACAGTGCCTGGAAGTACCAGGGATCAAACCCAGGGCCTACTCCCAACTTCAATGTTGATTCTTTAAAATTTATAAAAAATTAGGAAAATTGAATAAAGCTACAAAATCATCAGCACTGACTTTCTTCCCATGAAATTTTGCTCTAACCCGAGTGAAATGCAGGAAGGGATTTTGTCACATGAGCATGTCACCATGGAAACATCTTCATTTTGAGCAAATCTAGCCTATGGGAATTCTATTTCACACCACACATCCATTGAACTCAACACGTTTTTATGCTCCTTAAAATACTGTGTTTCTCCTAAAAAATTGAAATACTCTCAGAGATAGACAGGATGTACAGAGATTAGTTAAGTCACTTGCTTCTGATGTAGCCAACCTTGGTTTGATTCCCAGCACTGCACAGTTCCTCTTTCATTATTGGGAGTGATTTTTCCTGCCCTCTCAACCCCCATCTCCAACCATCGTCCTGGGAGTGATTCCCTCCCCTCCCCCTGCTACACACACTTACACACACACACACCTTGCCCCAGCCACTTCAGAGTCAGGAGTAAATCCAGAGTACTTAGTCCAACCCTCCAAAAAAATTTCTCAACTTAACTTTGGAGGTCTAAGGGGGTATACAAAAGCAGTTCTGTATTTCAGATAATGATGCAAGAAAGTATAGAGTCACCCTCTGACCCTGTACCTACGTGTAGTGGATATGTTTAACTTTCATTTACGGTGGTTTAAGAGTAGTTCATGAATTCAGTGAACCCTTCTTGATCATGGAATCACATGTATCACATGTGTGTTTGTAAGTTAAGTATCGAATTTTAGACTTAGCAAGGACTCGAGGATAGCTTCTGCCCATCACACCACACACACAGGGTGCTTGATGTAATTCTGTGATCTGGAGAAACCAGTGGGTATTTGCCGTGGTGCTATGGGAATTTAAATTTCACCCATAATAGCCATCAGAAAGGAAACTGAGGGCCTGGGGATATAAGATCAGGGCACAGGCTTTGCATGGGAGAGATACCAAGCACTGTGCACCCAGCACTGCTGTGCCCGGGCATTGAATGGCCCTGTCCTTGGGCTGAGTATGGCAGCAAGTAGCTCCTGGACTCCCTGAGAACTGCTAGAGAGGGCCCCTTCCCTCTCCCCCACCAAAGCCGAAACTGAAATGGAATCAACACCTCGCAAAGAACCCAAAACCACAAAGCAGTTATTACATGAGCCTCAAAGTATCTATGCAATAAATGACATGTATAATACAATAATTAGTTAATCTCATTATTTGGGAATAGGATTCTGTATTTTTTTGTTTGTTTTCATTTGGTTTGGGGCTCAGGGCTTACTCCTGGCTCTGTTCTCAGGGTTCACTCTTGGCACAGGTGGATGGTGCAGGGGGAGCTCGGGGACCATATGGGTTGCCAGAGATTGCCAGGTGGTCTGTGTGCCAGGCAAATGCCCTACCCACAGTGCTATCTCTCCAGAGCCCTGTAATTCTGTAGCACTGCACTGTAGCACTGTCCTCCCATTGTTTATCGATTTGCTCAAGTGGACCCGGTAACGTCTCTGTTGTGAGACTTATTGTTACTGTGTTTGGTATATCAAATACATCACGGGTAGCTTGCCAGGCTTTGCCATGCGGGCGAGATACTCTCAGTAGCTTGCCGGGCTCTCCAAGAGGGGCGGAGGAATTGAGGGTCAGCTGAGTTGTTCATGTGCAAAGCAAATGCCCTATCCACAGTGCTATCTCTCCAGAGCCCTGTGATACTGTATCTCAGGTAATTGCTGAATCTTGCTCTTTGTGGCTTGTCCAGATCCACATATTTAACACGGGGAACCTTAAATGGTCCAAGGACATCTGCCCAACCCACCAGTGACCCAGGGTTTTTCACCTGGCAGTGCTCACGGAGCTTTTCCTGGTTTTATGCTTGGGTATCACTCTTGGCAATGCTTAGGACACCCCCCTGTTATGCCAGGGATCCAACTGAGGTTTGCCTCCTGTGCTGGCTCTTCTGCCCTCCAACTGTGTCTCAAACACTCCGCCCAAGCTCATCTTCTGGTTCTTCAGAAGCAGTCAGAGAAGGAGTTGATTGAGATGCCTCAGTTGATATCAGTGTTGTGGAAGGTTCTTTGATTCAGGAATTCTTTTTTTTTTTTTTTGGAAGGGTGGGGGAGCAAGGGGTCTCTCCAGCTGTGCTCAGGAGGCCCAGGGACTCCACCCAGCGATTCTTAGGCATAGGAGCTGGTGGTTCAGTGCAAGGGCCCTTGCCTGCCATGCTGCAAAGACTCTGCGATGTCAGTGAGCCCTTGGGCCACCACGCCAGCAGCACTTCAATGACTATTGTGGTGTTGGCCATCAAACTAGTGTGGGTTACAGGCCAGGTATGCAGCCGAACTTCTCAACTACCTCTCCAGACCCACTGAATCAGATTTTTAGTTTTATTTATTTGTTTGTTTGTTTTAATTCCTTATTGAGATTCTGTGGTTTGCAGTGAAGTTGATGATGCTTCTCATGCACACAATTCCACACCTGTCACCAGTTCCAGGGGCGCTTCCCCCAATTCAGTTCTCTGAGTTAGTTCTCCTATCAGGATGAGTTACGTTGTCTTTGCCTCCTTGCTGCTGCCTCTCTGTGTGTCTTTAAATCCCACACCTGAGAGGGATCATTTCGTGTCTTTCCCTTTCCTTCTGACTGACTTCCCTCAGCATGATCTCTTCTCCTTCCGTCCACGTCGCTGTGAATTGCATGACTTTGTTCTGATTTTTTAAGAAGCACTTGAGTTAGGGGAGTTCTTTGAAGAAACACTTTTGTAGTCAACTACCTTTTGGGGTTTGCTTTCAACTGCCTTTCAGCACTGTTTCTAATTGGTTCCATATGCCTTTGGCACACATAACATCTTGGCTCACGCATCAGTACTTTCCATACCTTGCCAGGAGATCATTTATTCATTCATTTATTCATTTAATTCTTTTTCACTCTGGAGCAGAAAGGAAAACCTCCCAAGCTATCATCAGAGGGCTTAGTGGCCACTTTCAGTTATACTTGGCCAGCTGGGCGGGACAGTTCAATGCTAGGGCATGGCAATGTAGCAAATCTCACACCCAACGGTGATGGCAGACCTCGAGGGCCACAGGTGGCAGTGCTGGAGCATGGCTGGCATGCAGTGTTAAAGATAAAAATGGCATCCCTGTGTTTGCCAGGCATGTGCCCCGGACCCCTGTTTCTTAGTGTCATTACTGAAGGAACATAGAGCATTTCAACATATAACCTTCAAACATACATCATAAAAAAAATCAACATGTGTGTGTTTGTGTGTGTGTGTTTGTGTGTGTGTGTGTCTGCCCACTGCTTTATATCCCCCCACAAGGAGTTCAGGGAGCTTTTCAAGCATCACAAAATTTTGCACAGTGGCTTGTCCATGGTTCTCAATCCACGTGATCCGGTTGGTAAATGCAGTTACCGTGAGTATCACAAAGAAAAGTCCCCTGGCAGAGAGCCTGTGTCACTGATGCAGCTGAAGCTCTGTGAGAGATAAGGCCTGTGTGGCCTGTGGGGAAACCGAGGCCTCCAGAAGTTTCACTACTTGATGAAGCCATGTTATTAGTAATAGTTTGGCTGCCTCTCCAGCTCCCCAGCACGCAAAGTCTCCTCTCCAATGCAGGTGAACATTTCTCAGTGAATTCCTAGAGATCTGCTCAGAGTGAGACCATTGGCCGTAATGTTTGAAATTGGAGCACAAGTTCCTGAAGTTTCAGGCATTCTCTAAACGTTTAGAAACCATCTTTAAAAATTACTTTTTGGGGGGAGATACAGGACAGAGTCGTAGTACAACAGGTAGCATACTTGCCTCGCATGCAGCGGACCCAGATGTGATCCCCAGCATCCCATATGGGTCCCCCAATCCCCTCCAGGAGTGCTCCCTGAGTGCAGAGCCAGGAGTAAGCCCTGAACACTATTGGGTGTGACCTGAAAACCAAAAAATATATATTCTTTTTTTCTCCCTTTATGCCATTTCAGTTGAAAGAGGGTCCTATAAGGCTCATAGGTACTTAATTAAAAGTATAGAGTATTTCATGTGGCATCTCAGATTAGGGACCTAGGATGAGGTTTTGATACTTGCATTGGGGGATATATTATCAATTAATTAGAGTGTCCAAAGTCCTTTATTCAATTCAAATGGTGGCAGAAACTATCTGTTCTTTGGGGTGTATTTATATCAGAATATTAGTAATACACAGTTACGGGTAGTGAAGAATCTCAATGCAAGCCTCTCTCTCTGTCTCTGTCTCTGTCTCTGTCTCTCTCTCCCTCTCTCTCTCTCATCAGGCTACTCGACATGCAGAAATGGTGGCCATCGATCAGGTCCTGGATTGGTGTCAGCAACATGGCAAGAGTCCTTCCGAGGTGTTTGAGCACACCGTGTTGTATGTCACCGTGGAGCCATGCATCATGTGTGCAGCTGCCCTCCGCCTGATGAGTATCCTTTCTCAGAGGGGGGTCGAGACTGAGGAAGGCCAGATAACCTGCTGGGGACATACGAAAACAGATTGATGGAAACTAAGAGGAGATACAGGGTACAGTGCACAGGGAAGATTTTTTTAAGTGACTATTTCTTTTTGTAGGAAATAATATCAAACCATTAAATAGATATGCTAGAGAAAAGAAAGCATGGAACTAAATTGTTCCATAAGTCATAAGTGTAATAGAGAAGCACTGTAGCACTGTAACACTGTCCTCCCTTTGTTCATCAATTTGCTCAAGCGCGGGCACCAGTAACATCTCCATCGTGAAACTTGTTGTTACTGTTTTTGGCATATCAAAAATGCTACCGGGAGCTTGCGAGGCTCTGCCGTGCAGGCGGGATATTCTCGTTAGCTTGCCGGGCTCTCCGAGAGGGATGGAGGAATCGAACCCGGGTCGGCTGCATGCAAGGCAAACGCTGTGCTATCACTTCCGCCCAATTGTCATAGAGTATAGAGTAATAGAGTAGGTTATAAAATAGTATAAACAGGAAATCATTTGACAAATAGACACTGATACCTTTCTATAATGATGGGTCTCATTCTCCTAAAAAGCCTTGAATATAATCTCAGGGCTAGGATGAAAGAGACGTTACTGGGGCCTGCTCGAGGCAATCGACCTTTCTATAATAGAAAGTGTAAAATTTTTCTTTCTGCTATTTTTTTTTTTGTGGTCAATACCTACTATGACATTTGGGAAATTTTATTTATTTATTTTGCTGCCACACCTGGCACTGCTCAGGGGACCACATGTGGTGTGGGGATTTGGACAGGGGTTGATTGCATGCGAGGCAAGTGCCTCATCCTCCATATGAACTCTGACCCCATATGAAAAATTTTATATACAAGGGAATACAAGGTTAAAAGCAAAGTAATTTGTGATATTATAGTTGTAAGTAAAGGGGACTCGAGAAAGTTACAGCTGTTTTTGAATTATGCAATGCATGTAATAAGTGACACAAATGCTGACTACTACTAGGGCTGACTACTACTAGGGCTGACTACTACTAGGGCAGGCACGGTTGGTAGAGCGTTTGCCTTGCAGACAGCCGACCCAGGGTTCAATTCCCAACATCTCATTTGGTCCCCCGAGCACTGCCAGGAGTAATTCCTGAGTGCAAAGCCAGCAGTAACCCCTGTGCATCGCCAGGTGTGACCAAAAAAGCAAAAGAAAAAACAAACAAAAAAAGCCAAACAAACAAAAATAAAAACCCCAAATACTGACAAATACAAGTCAGTCTTCAGAGATTCTGTTTCCTTCAGGGTTACTCCCAGCTCTGAGCTCAGGGACTTCAGGCTTAACCTCGGGTTCCTGCTTGTGAGATGCACACTCCACTCCTCTGAGCACTATTTAAAATTTTTTTGGATAATTCAAAAACTCCGTTTCCTAATTGCGTATTTTTATATGCCTGGCAAGCCACCCGTGACGTATTCGATATGCCAAACACAGTAACAACAAAGTCTCCAATGGAGACGTTACTGGGCCCGCTCGAGCAAATCGACAAACAACGGGAGGGCCTTTACCTTTACCTTATTTTTATATGTAATAAAATAAAAGTTTATCACTTCAGAAATAATATTCTGGCACATGATAGCATGTTTAATCTCAACTTTATAAAGATAAGTTTGATTTATTTAGTATAAATTAGAAATTTCTTTTCCTCCTGCCTGGACTTTGTTTTTTTTTTTTTTTTAATTTTGAAGGGTTTTTGTCTTTTTGTTGTTGTTGTTTTTATTTTTGTTTTGGGGCCACTCCTGGCAGTGCTCAGGGCTTAGTCCTGGCTCCGTGTTCAGAAATCACTCCTGGTGGGGCTCAGGGACCTTATGGGGAGCTGGGACTTGAACCCAAGTTGTTGCATGCGCGTCAAGCAGCCAACCCACTGTACTACCTCTCTGGCCACAAAATACTGATTTTTCAGCCCTTTAAACACTCTTTCTTGTGTAATAAGGAATACTGTACTGCGTGGTTGGTTGGCTGGATTGTTGGTAATTTTTTTTCTCTTTTTTGTTTTTTCATAGCGGCCTCTCCTGGCAAGGCTTGGTCAGGGCCACCTGAGATGCACCCCGAGGTGCCAGGATGGGTGCTGATGTGCTGGGGGTTGAGCCCATGGCCTTGCACATGCTCAGTTAGTGACCCATCCCTTGAGCTAACTCCTCGGCTGGGTCGTGTGGGTTTAAACACAAAACCGAAGCCCAGTTGCTCTTAGCACCAACTTGTCTCTCCGATGACTGTTGTAGCCCTTCCCCTAGTTCTGCTGGGACAGCTGGCCGAGCCCCCGGTGCCTTAATTCCGTCTCAGAAATCCCACTGGTTGTATACGGCTGTCAGAATGAACGCTTTGGTGGCTGTGGCTCCATTCTGAATATCGCCTCGGCTGATTTACCCAACACGGGGATGCCGTTTCAGGTAACGCCACCCAGCTCTTGCTTTTTCCGAAATTTCCAGTTGCTTGGGTCTCCCGACAGGCGTGTGAGTTGTTAGTGGGTGCTCGGTTGATTGAGGAGTCAGGATGGGAACGTGCAGGCTCTTTGGACCCTTGGTGTGTTGGGTAACAGTGGTTTGTCCTGTCTCCCTCCCCCGCACCCCTGCAGGGAACTTAAATTTATTGAGTTACACCCACCACAGTGCTCGGGAGGCACACCCAATTCCATCAGGAACTCCTAGTCCTCTGTGTTTATCTTTAACCTCTCCTCTGTGCTCAGCATCCCCTGTCTGTTAATCACTAACATCTCCAAATCAGACCCCCTGATTTGTAAAGTCAAATCTTCTGAGGACTCTGGATTTTGTATATGTAAGTGAAATATTGCTTTTCTCTTTCCTTTATGTCCTTTGCATAGTTTACTTCAGAGCAATGTCCTTTTTTTGTATGGACCCGGTAAGAGGTATATTAAGCTTAAAGGTTGGCTCTTCCTGGGGACATTTCGCTATATATCCCAGACTACAGTCCTCAGGCCACATTATCTTTCCTGACCCCAACAGGGTCTTTATTCAGTTTATTCTTTTTGGGTCATGACTGAGTTTGTTCCATGATTGAGCTCTTAACTTATTATACATTTTATGGCACTTAGCCTGTCCCTTTTCGATACCAGGGTAGCTTGCGGCTTGCCCTGGGTCATTTATTCGTCCGGATCAGAGCACAGGGTGAGGGTCTGGCTCTCTTAAGCATCAGCACTTCTCTTGAATGAGTCCCCAGCCTTCCAGGGCATCTCCTGCCATCCTTACCAACACCTTCCAAAATGTGTGAAGACAGTGGCCCCATGGCATTTGGGGAATGTTTCCTGCTCTGTTTACAGCAGGTTAGTGTGGAGCTTGGTCTCTGTCAGCAACAGCATGATGGTTACAGTGAACACGTGGGTACCACTCTCTTCGTTGTCATTGTTGCAGTGAGAACATTTCAACTCCTACGACAACTTTAAAGCTTCCAGTACATTCCCATGAACTATGGTCAGGGAGCTGTATGATACACCCCCTGAGCCTCCTTCCAGCGGAATGTCTGTGCCAGTCAGATGGTGGGGTGTTCCCATTTCTTCTAGCCCTTTGCCTTAGGCAACTATTGTTCTACCCTGTTTATGAAGAAAATATGGAATGTTACCCAGCCAGGAAAAAAAGAAGCCAGTCTTGCCATGTATGACAAATGACTGACTCTAAGGGCATGAGACTCACTGAAATATGTCACAAAATGAATGGACAGATACTATTTGTTCCCAGTTTATCTGTGGAACTCCCCCAGAGTATTGACATCACAGAAGGTTGCTGGTTGTGATGGCATCTATGCGGGCTTCTGAGGCCCAGGCACGAGTGGGCTGAAGACACACAGGAAAAGGAGATTCCTCCAGGGCAAAGACCTAGAGCGGCCACTCTTGGGACCAGGGCTGACCCCTCTCACCTTCCATGCATTGCTTCCAGACATGCCTTCCTCTAATTCTCCACTTGTCATTCCGTCATTTGTTGTGACTCAAAAGGAATATGTCCAATTTATACTCCTTAGACAAAATTTCAGAGACTTGTTTAAGCGCCGACATGCACGTGTGTGTGCGCGCGCACACACACACACATGCCTTATATGTATATAAATATGTCAGAATGTTGCTAGGGATGGTACTCAAGGCACTATGTATATTTCTGCTCTGCCATTGTAAAATCTTTCAAGGTCCTTATATGAAAACACAGTGAGGAAGAAAAAAGGAAAAAAAGAAAAGAAAACTTTGTGTACATCTTTTCTTCTGGAAATTTTTGACTTCCCTGTCCAGAACGTGCGTTAACTCTATCTGAAATATGTCTCACATAATCTTATAGATATTGCTCTTTTTATGGGGCACAAGTGGCATGTTCAAGGCCTTTCCTCATTCTCTCGTTTCATTAGTGCATTCCTGGATATCGGGCTGAGGAAGCAGTGGAACTCTTGAAGGCCTTCTACAAACAAGAGAACCCAAATGGTCAGTTTCTTCCTTCTCACCATCTTGCACGTTTCGCTTTGAAACAGGTTATATGGCGAATTGGATGTGGAGTTACCTTTGTGTTTCCTCTGTTCTTTTCACAGCACCCAAATCAAAAGTTCGGAAAAAGGAATGCCAGAAATCTTGAAGTTGTGATGGAAGACAATGCCTCAGGATGAAATTCCTGAACTAAGAACTGATGACGTCATCGGACATGGGTTCCTATATTGAAGCAGGAGAAAGGGTCTCCTTTCATCTGCCTCTAACATCCTTGGAAATTTTTAAATGAATTTGCTCATTAAGCCATGCATTTTTGATTGTCCTTAGAACAGATCTTCTTTGCTTTCATAAAGCATTTAGAGAAAATGCATACCTGAAAACAAGGGTGAAAGTGTGATTTTTAAAATCATAGCATATTGCTATAACAAAGCCTTATTCATGTCTTCTTTGAAGATGAATTGGTTTTAAAATAAAGGTAAAAAACATAAGTTATCATTGCTTCTTTGTTATTGAGTGGCTGTACTGTGCAAGGCTGTTTGTTTATTTAATGAACTGACAAATAATCCCATTCTCAAGGTGTTTCTCTTCAAGTGAAGGGAATTAGGTAATAGAGGCTGGATTAATAGGACAGTGGGTAGGATGCTTGCTTTGGATCCAGCTGACCTGGGTTTTATCTGTGGTATCCCATATGATGCCCCAAGCACCATCAGGAGTATTCCTGAGTCAGATCTGAAAGTTACCTCTGATCCCCAAGCATCGAGGGGAATTCCCCCCCACCCCCCACTACACACACACACACACACACACACACACACACACACAAACTATTGAAACACCCCTAAAGGAAGATATATAATAAACATGCTGGATGATACTGTATATTGAAGGATGGTAATGATCATGGCAGGATATGGAGAACAAAGTATAGAGAATGTGTATGTCATTTGGTGGTAGGGATGCTGATTGCAAAAGTAGAATGATTACTGGAGTCTGATGTCATTTACATTATAACTTCTTAATTTATTTATTTATTTTTTTGCTTTTTGGGTCATACCCAACGATGCACAGGGGTTACTCCTGGCTCTGCACTCAGGAATTACCCGTGGTGGTGCTCAGGGGATCATATGGGATGCTGGGAATTGAACCCAGGTCGGCCATGTGCAAGGGAAACGCCCTACCCTATGTGCTATTGCTCCAGCCCAATTTACATTATAACTTTTTAAAATAAAAAGTCAGACTTAGAAAGTAATCTAAAATCTCAGGAGGCAGTCAGATAGGTAAAGCAGTTATTTGGGGTCAAAGAATTCCAGCTGAGAAACTGTCCAAACTGAGGTTGAGAGCCTGGAATGGGCCCTACAGATGGGCAGAGTCAAGGATTTTCTTTTTTAAAAATATTTTCTTTGGAGGGGCTGGAGCGATAGTATAGCGGGTAATGCATTTTGCCTTACATGCAACCAACCCCGGTTTGATTCCCAGAATCCCATATGATCCCCCAGCACTGCCTGGAGTAAGTCCTGAGTGCAAACCCAGGGGTAACCCCTGTTGCATTGCTGGGTGTGATTCAAAAAGCCAAAAAAAAAAAAAGTTTAAGATGATATTAAGGGGTTAAGCAATAAGTATTAACTACTGTAAACAAGCCCAAACTGTTCTTGGCTATGCATAATTGGCCACTTACTCTCTGAAAGGAGGAAAAGGGAACTTGATTGATTCTGTCTTTCAAACAGTTGCTTTCTGCCCTGTGCAAAATCTGGCCCAATTTAAGGAGACAGGGAATGCAATTTCTCTGTAAGGACTCACTGGTTCTATTTTTAAAAGGGCTTCACAGGTTTCAGCTTTTCACAAAAGCTTAAAGTCTAAAATTTAGACATGTGAATGCAACCCAGGAAAAGGTATCCACAGCAGGAAGCTTCGGATTCTCATCCTGACCCACCATGAAAGAGCTGGTTCTGAGGTAGTGCGGCTCTGCACAGCCACTTTGGGGTACACTGCATCTGCCCAGAAGGGGGCCTCGCCGTTCCACCAGAAGCTCAGCTTCAGGCTTTGGAGGGCATCTCCTTCCTTCTCAGTTGCATTTCTTCAGTGGATTCATTTCCTTGATGCAAAGCATCTGTATTTGTTGGTTCTGCCATTTGAGCGATGTCTCTGACTTGTTTGTTTTGAATTACATTACAGGCTGGAATGTAATTGTGGTGAAAGTATTTTTATATTGCTGAGAGTAGCAGCTAATCACAGTTACATGCTTCAGAGGATTTATAATTGCTTGGTTTTGTACGTGTGTTTTTAACTGCATTTGAGCAGAAGCATGGAGAAGAATATGCATGGCTTTCAATCTATAATAACATTACATGTGTCTTCTCTTCAGTTTCACTTTAAAAATTATCTTCTCATTAAATTTTAGTGCCTTGACTAGTTTGCTCCTTTTTGCAGTTGGTCATAATTCATTCCTGGCTCTTATGCCTTCCTGCAAGCAAACCTCATTGCATTTGTTGTCTTTATCTCATTTTCACGGGGATTATTTGTAGACAAACAACCTGGAATCATTCCTCTGGAGAGTGTTACCTTCTAAGTCGGCTAAGCAGCTTATGCCAAGTAGATTCTTTTTAAAGATTTATTAAGTAAAATTTACTGATTGAAATTTTGGAGAGGGAAGAGATTAATGAGGAGAATTTGTAAAACAAAAAGCCAAAATCAAAACATGTACATGGAATTTTAGCCCAGAATAAGCCACTTCAAGAAAATATAGCTAGACACAGGGGAAGTAGAAAGGAAAAAAACATACATATTAGCCTCTCTTGCTTAGCTGTGTTTTGGAGAATGAGTTATTTCCTAATTACAAAAGTGATTTCATTTTTTTTTCCATTTTTTTAGGAACATTGGGCTGGAGCGATAGCAAAGCAGGTAGGGCATTTGCCTTGCATGTGGCCGACCTGGGTTCGATTCCTCTGTTCCTCTCAAAGAGCCCAGCAAGCTACCAAGAGTACCATGCCCACACGGCAAAGCCTGTCAAGCTACCCGTGATGTAGTTGATATGCCAAAAACAGTAACAAGTCTCACAATGGAGATGTTTCTGGTGCCCACTCAAGCAAATCGATGAACAGTGGGAGGGACAGTGCTACAGGAACATTTTGATTCTCTCATGCTCTGCTTGACTTACAGAAAACGTCCCTAGATTTTGGTCTTAGACAGGTTGCTTCATTCAGTTGAGAGAAAAGTCAGCGCATGGTGCATTGCTGATTGGGCGTTTGCATCTCCAGTGGAGATTCAGGACCTTTGTGTCGTCAAAGATATCGGGATCTGATGATGATTTCAAAGGGATGCTGAGGAATACAAAATAAATCACTGTGGGCTTGCTATAGGGGCAAGCATGAGGGGTGGTTGGGAAAATGGAAACCATGGTGGAGGGAAGGTGGTAGGATTTGGGTTGAAATATTGAATGCCTGTAACAAATCATCATGAACAGCTTTAAACAACACAGTGTTTAGAGTGGGAGAAAAAAACAAAAACAAAGGGGTGCTGAGGAGTTGTGAACCTATGATGAGGTTACGCTCCTTTCTGAGTACCATATCAATAGCTTAATATTTTAAGCTGTGTCAACATTATTTTGACATAGCTGAGAATATCAAAGTGTTCCCACTCGAAAGCTCAAATCTAATGGATTGGTACTGGTAGTGCCTGTTTGAGAGGCCTCTTTTGTGTATGAGATAATTCCGCAAACTGTGGGATGCAAGAAGGTTTTTGAATAAGTGCCCTGGGTAGAGAAATTAGTGAGAAATGAATGCATCAAAGGTGCTGGAGTATCCAGTCTTTATACCAAACTCTGCTGGGAAGGGATGGTGTGTAATGCCCTGGCATGCTTCAATCTCTGATAAAAGACCGAGTTAAAATATCTTCACATTCTCTTTTTATTTGGCATGAGCATCTTTTACTGTGTTGTGTTTGGAATATCATGAGAAGAAAGCAGCCAAGAACTCCTAAGCAGGCAAGAATTGTTCATTTTTCTTTAAACTCTCTATTTGGAAAAAAATTCAGATTTATAGAGAGCTGTAAAAATATCCATATATTCCATAGTCATTAACCTACTAGCATTGTACACCTAGCTTCACCTGCTCTCTCTTTATTCTCTGATGAAATGCACGTGTAGATCAATAGATACAAGAATACCTGTGTAGATGGAAGAATGAATGGGTAGATCAATGAATTGATGCATAAGTAGATGTATTGATGTGTGGGTGGGTGGCTGGATCGATTGGTGCATGTATGCATGCATGGGTAGGTGGATAGATGTATGAATATGTGTATGGGTAGGTGGATGTATGCATGTATGGATGGGTGTGTGGATGAATGAATGTGTGAGTAGAATGGATGGATGGATATATCTTTCTCTGAACCATTTGGAGAAAAGATACAAATGCCACCTATCGTGACCCATTGCCCTGAAGCATTTTAGAGTTTCCCAAGTGTAGTATATTCTGATGTTTAATCCCAGTGGAGTTATTGAGTTCAGTTAACATTGATGCAGCACTTTTACATAAAATTATTTGCATTGGAATTTTTTCCTGTTAATAGTGGCTGTTAACTGTGTTCCCAATCCTTACCTGAAGCTTTATAGGGTCATGTCTTACATTTAATTGTTTTATATATGCATATATAGGTTACATATGGGTGTGTGTATATACATATATGTATATAATATGTGTGCGTGTGTATATATATATATATATATATATATATATATATATATATTCGAGCAGTTCTCAGAAGTTACTCCTGGATCTGCATTAAGGGATCATTTCTGATGGAGTTCTGGGACCATATGTGGTGCCAGGGATCAAACCTGGCTCAATCTCATGCAAGGCAAGCACCCTACCCACTGTACTATCTCTATCTCTCTGACCCCATTTTTAACTTTTAATCTAGAACCTTTCCAGAAACTTTCTTTTGTTTAATGGTGTTGGCATTAAAAAAAAAAAAGCAGATTTCCTGCACCGCCCATCTCCTACTTTTTCTGTTTTTGTAATAGTGTCTTTTCATGACTGAATTCAGGCTATGCATCTAAATAATGATATGTTTTTCGTGGTCTCACACCTGGAGACACACAAAGGCCAGCTGTCCCTCACTGGTGATGGTAATTTTGGTTACCTAGTGACCACTGTGTCTTCACTGTATAATTACTGTGTTTTTATCCATTGCAAAAAATAGTCTTGGGCAAGGAA